CCCCCAAGAAAAAAAAATACCGTAAAAAATGATTATTATGACGAGTGTCTATTATCAACACAATGCCTTCAACGATGTGTTGCTAGGCTTATACCGAAAGACGCCTGTTAAACCACACGCCAAAGGTATCAATAGACAATGATTGATTAGAGACATGGGAGGATCAGCTGGTGGCTTCAAAATGTTAAGAGGCATGCTTTCTCTGCCTATTTTATTTCTTTTTATTTCTCAACATAGTGTCCATGAACAATCATCCCATCGCTGCATGAGTAAATGCATGTCATCCGTGTAGAGTTTTACATCGAGTTCTGGGGATCGAAGCCAATCTCTGACGTGTTCCAGAAAGTTTGTGCCTTCAGTGGTGTAAGGAATCTGTATGCATGTTTCAAAGGGAAACAATCAATAGTCTTGTTTATTGTTAATTATGTGGGTACTGGGTACATTCCCCTTACGCTTATCCAGAGGTCAAGCTTCCTCTTCCTGCCACGTGAGTTCAGTGAGTGACACGGTTTTGTCTCTGCCCAGTTGTCAAGTTTGTAAAACATCTGAATTCATCCTTGCCAATAAACATGTTGCGTACTAGTGGTTTTCTCCTCGGCTAGATGATGCTGCACTTCCCCAAACAGACGGAAGTCTGAAGGGGCAAGATCAGGACGGTGACCCCAAAAGCTTTTCTTTTAGGTTCATGAAAGTCACCTGCATGGCCAGTTCTCATGCTACATTGGCAATTTGGCTGCATCTTTCCAACAATGAGTCATAAACATCGATGTGCTGTGCCTTGTTGTCATATTCTGTCAACTTTTTTGGAACCCATCGAGGTGTCACTATTCTGTATCCCACCTCATTAAAAACAGTTTTGTGAATTGTTGACTTGCGAAGATCTAAGGTATCAGCAGTTTCATGAATTTTAAGCCTCCAATCGTCACAGGTGATTTTTTCAATTTGTTCATAATTTATTATGCGTTGGCCCTTTGAATGCCGAAAGCCGTGAAGCGAGTCGAACGAAGTCTCAACTCATCCCACCAATCTAAATCCCCAGGATCACCTAGATTTAGGAGGATTATGCACCCGAGATTCACAGGCGTTCTCAAATCTTTTCTGATAATGTCGTTTTGGCCACTGCCCAACAATTACTACAACCCTAAGCTTACACACTTACTACTCCTAAATGAACCCCTAAACTCATATAAAGTTACCGGGAGTCTTGAAATATAAAGGAAACACTTAAAAGACAATAACTGGATCATATCTGTACCAGTTTCAACAAAGCTTCAAACAAATAAAATGAAACCAGGGAGATACAGCGTTTCTAAAATGAAGACAATCATTGACACGTTCAAGAAATATGAAGTTTCAACCAAAATAATAGATCTAATTGGTTAAAACGCAACATTTAATTAACAAAAGCATTCAGCTACTGGGGCGTTATTGGCCCGTTCTGGCTTCAGAACAAAGACGATAAAACCACGAAAGGCACATCAGATTGTATATAATTTTCACTGTGCTAAGAAAGGATTGGAGAATTTGTGGAGGAGAAGTAGAGGTCTGACACCAGTGGGATGGGGTCACACCCCTAACGTCCAGAGTAGCCATTGTGTGGTTCAAGAAAGGGTTGTGGGAACGCTTTATAAAAAAATTGAAGAGTATTTCTTCTCTCCAGGCGAGTATACAGGAAAGTCTGAGAAAGTTACCCAGGATCAGATGGACAGAGAGGGTCACCAACGATGAAGTGTTTAGGAGAACAAGACAGAGCCCAGTCGAAATGAAGTGGGAAGATGGGGGGTGGCGATGAATTGGATATGCTCTCAAGACGCTAGGTAGCTGCATAACAAAGAAAGTGTGGGACTGGAATTCACAGGGTAAAAGATCAAGGGAATGGCCATGTGGAACCTGGAGAAGAGTCACAGAGAATGAAGTATATAAACGTGGGAAGACATGGGATAATATCAAGAGGCTGGATCAGGATAGGGATTTGTTCATGGCCTGTACCCAGATGCTGGGTGAGAATGGCACTGATGATGATAAAGATGATGATGATGATGACGATGATGATGATGATGATGATGATGATGATGATGATGATGATGATGATGATGA